GGAGAGCCAACAGCTTGACCCTGCTTTGACAAGGAGCTGGAGTCAGAGCCCTGGGTCTGAGTCCCAGCCCTCCTGCTTCCCCCAGGGTCTGAACTTGGGTCTGTTCCCAAAGTCTAGGGAGTAATTCTCCCACCCGAGAGGCTTCTGGGGGGCGAAAGCCAAGACCTCCTGGTCTCCCATCATGCCTGGAAACCAGCTAATGGCTCAGAGACAGCTGTCTTCTTCCCTTGCCCAGGCAGCAAACCATCTCCAGTCTCGGGTGAACCCCCTCCCTCCCCGTGAAACTTGAGAGGCACCAAGCCTGCCCACCCTCAAACCTCAGCCTTCCTTACCTGAGCACCAAGGAGCACTGGGTTTCAGCCCACAGCTAGCGGGTCCTCTCAGCCCTGGAGTGCTGCCTCAGGGTAGGCTGAGGTCAGGAGTAAAGCTGAGGGAGGAAATCGCTCTGTGTGTGTGTGTGTGTGTGTGTGTGTGTGTGTGTGTGTGTGTGTGTGGTGTTGGCTGGGGGAGAGAGGCCGTGACTGCTGAAGAGTACGCTGTCACACTAGTGTTTAAATAAAGCTAATCTCCCTCAGAGGGAAAGAGGGGCAGGGAGACAGTGGGCGGCCCTGCCCACAGCTCACTTGCCCTGAAGCGGCAGTTCTCAACCTGTGGGTCGCGACCCCTTTGGAGGTAGACTGACCCTTTCACAGGGGTCGCCCAATTCATAACAGTAGCAAAAAGACCATGATGAAGTAACAACGAAAATAATTCTATGGCCGGGGGTCACCGCCACATGAGGAACTGTATGAGAGGAAGGTAGAGAGCCACTTCCCTGAAGGAGCTTTGCAGAAATCCCACAGGCGGGGCCAGTCCCTTGGTGGTGGGGGTGGGGGTGGGGGCAGATGTGTGTGAGCCCGAGTGTGTGGAAGGGTGACCAGGGTATAAGCAGCAAGCAGGACGTCTGTGCCATCTGTCTACTGTGCCCAGGCTGCCCACTCCTGACGCCAGACCCCTCAGAGGAAAAAGTCCCCCACCCCAATTACTCTTCTGAGGCCCCCTGAGTCAGTGTGGGTGCCTGTCTGTGAGGGGCCCCCAAGGGAGACCTGGCTGTCCATGGGGCCTGGGGCCCTGTGGACATGGCCTGTCACTTGGATTGCTGAGCCCTGGTTCTTTCTGCTGAGATCATAACAGTCATGTCTGCCTCACGCTGCTCCCA